ATCATTGAAATAATTGATTGACTTGTTGATGTTGTTAATTGTTGAATTAATTCATGTGTTTGAATATTAAATATTTTAATAAGACCATCAAGTGATGAAGCAATTAATAAATTTTGTTGTTGATTCATTGCAATATTTGTTACAGCTTTTTCAAATTCTTTATATTCATATATAATTGTACCATTTAGAAAATTATGTACAATGATTTTTTTATCTGCTGAACAACTATATAGAAAATGATGAACTGAATCAATAATTAATTGACGTGGAGATTTTGTATGGCCTTATTGAAGAAAAAAATAGAATTTCTATATAAAATAGAAACAAAAAAAATACCTGTTAATGTTAATCGCCGTTGTTCATTAAGTAAAGAAATAACAACTATAGATCCATCAAAAGATGATGCAATTAATAAGTGACGACCATCTGGATCACGTGTAGCTGCGACTGCTGATACAACATAGGGCGAACATTTAATTGTATGTATAACACACATCTAGAAAATATAAATAAAAAATAAAGAAAGAAAAATCGAATTTTAATTTAACCTTTTTTAATGAAATAAATGCAACTTCACCTGAACCTAATCCAACCATTAAAATATGAAATTTAACAGCTGTACAATGAACAGGAGCAGCAAGCATTATTTCACCTTTGGATTCATGTGATGGATGATCACGGTATAATCTGACTGTTTGATCAAAACCAGCTACACATAATATTGTACCACCAAATCGTTTACAATGTGCTACTTGTAATGTTTGTGTACCACCATTTGGTGTAAATATTGGCTCATGACGAGGATGTTCTGTAAGTGTTTGAGTTTGATAAAATCGTACTTGACCATTTAATGAACATGAATAAAGTAAACCACGATACATACGTAAACAAACAATGGGACTTTGATGTTTTGTTAACATAATACCAGCACGTGGTTGTTGATATTTAGTACGTTGATGAGTTTTACCTAATCGACGACGATGCATTATACGCCAAGCTTTATAATAATTAACTTTTGGATAATATTGTATAGATGATATTTTCGTTGATAATAATGGATTATGACCAGGACGACGACGTTTAAGTACATTACCGAGAATCTCAGGACCAACGTGTGATCGAGCAGTTGTACGAAATAAACCTGAGCATGTACCAAGTAAGAAATCAATAAGTTGTGGACCTGATATAGTAATTAAGTCATAGGATAGATCATCATCAACTCCCTAATGTAATTTACAAAGGGAAATAGTATTAAATTTTTAATATTAACAATTATTCTCATTAGATTTTGTATATACCTGTTCAGCTGATATTCGTTGAAGTTGATCACGTACAAAGAAAACTTTCATTTCAAGTGGCATTGTTTGTTCTAATGGTTGTTGTAAATTTCGTGAATTTTTTATTGATTTAGCAAACAATTTTCGTCTCATTTTATCCAGATCTTTTCGTTCAACAAAATGATGTTGTAATTTTGATTTTTGAGCGATTTGTAAACATAATTGAGAGAGAAGATCACGACCACGAGGGGATGATAATGAACCAAGAAATGTACAACGAAGTGAAGATGATGAAGCGGATAGACCATGATGAATCGTGCTACCTGTAGTTTCCATTTCGGACATGGTTATTGTTGAATGATTTAAACAATTCAAAAGATTTTATTACGATTACGATTAATTGTCTTAATACTAAATACAAGAAATATGAACGGTCAAGTTAAGTCAAATCTATTGCAACTCACGAAAAGAATTGGTTGTAAACTACCAATCAATATTATGTAAAATACCTCGACACTGTTACAATAGTTAGATATCGAATAATTCCAAGTTTACATGTATTTTTGTCACATATTTATATTAATTAATGGAATAGACTCGTGTTAGAGTAATTGGAAATAATTAAACTATAAAAAAAAAGTTAATATGGTTTTAATTCGAAAGATGGCGCTCATTTCATTGAATGATTATCATCGCTATCTGGCTGATGTAATGAAATGTAATTTTGTCAATCGAAATTTGCTTGAATAGTACTTTTTTCAAATGAAATCTTCATTAAAATCTATATTCAGATATGAGAACTACACGTGATTCAATAATATTATTATTATTGGTTTTGGAAAGTGAAAGTACTGAGCATGGAATCACAGCTGCATTATTTTCGCATATTCGTGCAGGTCTATTATTTATTAATAGCAACGAAGATAACAGTATGTCTTTTTCTATTTATATTCGTTGTTGTTTTCGATTAACCATAGCATAATCCGTAAATAGTACAATGCATACAATATTCTTTGTTCTACTGATTTTCCAATTCTTCTTCTATTCTCATCAACAAAGTACGTATTATAGAAAAAACTAATAAACAGTAAATAAATAGCTTTGGAAGAACATTTGTATAGGTGGACAAGGGTTACTTGCTCTTGGAGATTCATTTACATCTGGTGGTGGTTTACAATCATATCCACATGTTGCTGCTAATCTATTAAATTGGCAAGTAGGTAATTTTGCCGTAGGTGGATCAAAAACAACCGATATATGGTTACAATTATTAAGAGCCAGTAGTGTATTGCATATGGCAACACACGTTGTATTAACAATCGGTGGTAATGATCTTGAAGGTCTTCAAAGTTTAGCAGGTATTGCTCAACTTAATATGACATTATTTGAAGAGAGATGTGCTAATTTTAAACCAAAACTTGTATCAACTTATAAACTGATTAAATCTTTTCTTCCTGCTGATGCAAAATTTTATGCTTTACCGTATGTTGATTTTGTTAGCGTTGGTAATAAAATTCCATATGAAGCTGAATCTCATCGAGTAATGCAAACAATGAACAATTTGGTTAGAAATGCAGCAATTGAAGCTAATGTTAATTATGTAGATACTATAGTCTCAGCATTTCTTGATCATGAAATGTATTCAACTGATTCATACATTGATGATTTCAGTCATCCAACAAATCCACTTCATCCAAATTTAAAAGGCTATGCTAAAATTGGAGAAGTACTTGCTGCCTATTTACGAGCAAACTAATGCAAAATTAGTTTTTCTTTTCTTATTGTTTTTTTTCTGCTAGTACCAATAAAGAAAACATAAATATATAACTTTAAAGACACATGCATTTTGTTTTTATATCAAAATGATAACAAAAATTACAGAAAGATTTTTAGATATGTGTTATGAATATGTACAAACAATACTTTACACATAAGGAAGAAAACAGATTTATCAATAATAATAACTATTATTTATCAATAATATTACATTGTGTTGAAGTTTCATTATATGATTTTCCGGAACATAACCAACATCCAGATAAAATTGGTTGATTAATAAATGTCATCAGTTTATCTTGATTTGTATGTAATTGTTTTTTTTCTTCTTTATTTAACATTGAAATAACATATTTTCGTAATTTTCTTAAATGTAATTGTTGTTTTTTAATATGTTTCAGAACATGATTCATTTTAGCCATTTGATCTTCATTTGTCATTGTATTTGCTGATGTTTTTTTTACTAAATCTATTAATTGTGAAGTTTGATCAGTTTCATCTATGTTACATTCCAAAATCCAATCAGATGATAATTCATGATTATCAGAATTATTTACAGTTGAGATTTTTTTCGATTTTTTTTCTCTCAATAATTTCTTATGTAATCGTTTTTGACGCTTTGCTTCTTTTCGTTGTTCAACATCAGCAGTATCAAGTTCATTAATTAACATGGTACGTTGTTCATTGAGATCTTCATGATTTTGTGGAATCAATTTTTCCGTTGTTGAATGTTGAGATGGTAACGAACGAAACGGAGGAGAATATGGAGGAAGTTGTTCTTCATTACAATTGTCTATTAGAAATCCCGAAAAAGATGAAGTTTCAACATGATTTGATTCACATTCGACGTTCGTCTATTTAATAAACAAAATTTTATCCTTACAGATTTTATTACTGAATATACATACGGATGATGGTATATTTAAATATTCACTAGATGTTGATTGGAAATCATTATTAAAAAGAAGTTCTTCTATTGCACAGGTATCAGTATGATGATTACTATTATTTTCTATTGTATTTGTTGAATGAGATGTTTGATTACTAGCAAAACGTATTCGATCAAAACTTGACAAATTCATTGATGATTTTTGTTGATTTGGCAAACGAAGAATTGTTTCTAAATATTGTGTTTTTTGTTCATTACTTTGATTTATTTTTGTTTTTTTTATTGAACGAATCCATGATTCACGTTCATATGGTTTAACCGTAAGTATTGTTGATGACGAAATTGTTTTCATAGGCATTAATGGTTGTGGTATAGTTGGTAAATATTGATTAGAAAAATCCGTATGATTTTTTGTAGTTAATCGATTATTAAAAGATAAGATCGGTTCATGTTGTCGATGACATTTTTTTCGTTGATTATATGGATGACAACGATTTTTCCCATCCATTTTATTCATATCTAATAGATAAAAAACAAATTATTCTTTCATAATTATTTTCATTATTAAAAATCGAAACAAAATGAATAAATTTTATTTCTTTCTTAACCAGTCGAATTGTATAAAAAAAGAAGAAGAAGAAGAAGATTGAAGATACACACAAATGACAAACAAAAGTGGTAACAATAATAAATTCTTATCTGTATTTACACACGTGTAAAAATGTCCAACATATGTAAAGGCGATGAACACGGAGAACAAAAAAAAACAAAAATAGAATGTTTTACAAATGTTAAAAATGCAAAATCAATTCATTCTAAGATATATTATTTTGATAAGAGAGAGAAGAAGAAAGCCAGAGATTCTATCAACAAGAAAAAACTTCCTACAAACTAAAAAATGAATAACATCTGTATTGAAGATTATAAATAATGCACAAATAGAAAAATCATTCGTATAAATTTTCTTTGATTATAAATCATTTATTGATACATATCGTAAACGTTTATGTAATGATGGTGAATCTTCATCGATAACATATGAAAAACGATATTGATCAGAATTTATTGAACTTGTTTCACGATCATAACGAACATATAAACAATCATCTGTTGTATTTAATAAACGTTTTTCAGTTGAATTTGATAATTTAGGAAGAATTATAGTCGATGGTTTTGTTGATAAATTTGATTTTAGAGTTGATGGTAGGACAATTAAAGTTTGTTTTGGTATGGATGGTTGACTAGATATCGAATCTTTTGAAAATATTTGTGGTGATCGATTATTAAGTATTGTATTAAATGATGGTAACGATTCAGATGAATTAATAACAGTTAATTGACGAGAAACAAATTGAGAAGATAATGATGAGGAAGAAGAAGAAGAAGACATCGTTTGATAATGAGTTGATGTTGACTGTGAAGGATTATGAACTACATAAGATGAGATTGGTGTTGATGAACGAGAATTTAGTACTAAAAAAATTAGATTTATAATGACATCAGAGGTCAAAATATGCAAGACAAACTAATTTCTGTTTCATTCATGGTCTTGACTGTATTGCTTTCAGTCACTACGAACTTTCTCGACTATACGCATGAGTCCAACAAAAGGAATTTTCGAACGATTACCGTAAAATATGTGTGCAATACCGTTACAGTATATTATAGATGTCTATTTATGTAAGTTCGAAGGATAGAAGAGTATAAAACAGATATACCTACATATTCACATTATTAATAGACAAAAATCATGCGATACATAACGGTATGTTTTTTTTCTTTTCTTTTCTTTTCAAAAAAGCTCAATAATACTATCCTATGAATATGTTAAGATTAGTTTACTTGTTGAATTGTTGTTTAGAGATGAAGATTGTTGTGGTTGTTGTTGTCCGGCAAGATAAACAGTTTGTGATGGTTGATAGTATGTTTGTTGAGATTGAGATAATGATGAATTATTATTATATCCTCCACTAGCTAATGCAGCAAGTACAGCTGCATTTGTATTTGAAGAGGAATTATCAATAGAAGAATTTTTTGTTGATATATTTCCATTTGTTAATAAACGTTGTTGTTGTTGATTTATTGATGATGTATAATTTACATTATTTTGTGATTGTTGATCATATGTAAGTAAATTTTCATTTTGTTGATGATTTGTATTATGTAAAATCGACATTGTTTGTGATGTTAATGCATCTGTATTAAAAATAAAATTTGGTGATGTTGGTGACGGTGATGGTGATGATGATATATGTTTTGATATCATTTGTCCAGATGGGATTTTATCACCATAAGGTTTAAGTGTTTCAGCGGATAATTCTGAAAATGGTTTATTACTAATACGTATAACTGTTTTTTGTAAAACATCATCGATATCTTTTATTTTTATATCGGGAAATGTTATTTCAGCTTCATTTAATGAATGTAATGTACCATTAACAAAATCACGTAATTTTCTTAAACCAATATAAAATGGTAATTTATCTTCAGCACGTGGTAATTGAGAACAACGAGCACTTGATGATGGCATTACAAAAACATGCTATGAAAAAAAAATAGATTTTAATTTTTAACGTCAATTATCAGAATTAGTTACAGTATCTGTTCCTGGAAATAAATCCGGTTGTTTTCCATAATGAAAATGTTTATTTCCAGCATAAACTTCATAAATACCTCGTCCATTAAATGCAACAATTTTTGGTCTATACATTTTGATTTTTTGCATTAAAGTTTCTGCACCAGCAGTTATTTCATCTCTATAATATATATATAAAAATCAAGAATTCAAAATATAATATTTCTCATATTACTTTGTTATATCTGATCCAGCTTTTGATGGTCTTTGTACAATATTTGTAAAACCAATACCATATTGTGGCATACGATAATCATCATTAGCATTTAATATATTTGGTATTAAACCAGACATATGTAATAATTTCCAAAAATGATTTCCTGGTCCACCATAATGATGTTCTTTATGTACAGCAAGAAGACTTGGATTAATTCCAACCTATTACAAAAAAACGAACGATCGTTACATATATTTACAGGAAAATTAATAATAGATTTAATTACAAAAACAATATCAAGATTTATTTGAAGAATATCTTGAAGAAGAGGTTTAATTGATTCATCTTCAGTTGTAACATCCAAACGATTTGAATTTGTCGATAATGTAGAAGATTTTCTTTTATTATTTACAATTGTCGTCGTTGTTGTTGTTGGAGATTGTGGCGAAAGATTTTTATTAGTTATTGTTGATATTGATGGTAATAATGGAGATGAAACAACATTCATTACTGGAGATATCATTGTATTTCGAGATGATGATGATGATGATGATGGCATTTCAGATAAATGATTATCGATATCAAGATGAATTCTATTTAAAAGAAAAAGATTTTTGTATATTTTTTTTATGTGGAAAAATGAATATACTCTTGAGATTTGGTTTCATTCTCAGTATCACGTTTGAGGGATTGTCTTAATTTAGCAAGAAATACTTCAGCAACTTCATCCGAACCTAATGTACTTTTTAAAGCACTAAGAAAAAAGAAAATTTATGTAAACAAAAAAAATATAAATATAGTTCGATAATTACTTAAGATCACCACCAGATTCTAAATTTTTTTTAAATGTTTGCATTAAAACATTTTTAACACTATCTAATGCTTCATCAAGAAGTTCTTTTGTATGACTAAATAATAATAAAAAGTTTTCTTAAGAAAAAAATTTTTTCATATTGATTTATTTACGTTTCAGTTGTTTGTTCTAATGAAGATGTTGTTATTTGATTTTGATTCATATTTGATGATTTATATAATGTATCATTATGGCCATTAATATGTATTGTTGATGATATTTCATTTGATGTTGTTGTTGAACAATCTTGTTGTTCATTTGTTAAATATTCAGTTGACATGAATTTTTTTTTTCCTATTTATTATTTCATGTTGTTAATAATTGTTGTTTTTTATCTATATTGACGGATTTCTAAACAAATATAACGAACACTAAATAGAGAGAAAGATATAATTGAACTATATATTATAGCCAATTGTATTCGTTGACAAGAGAAAAGAAAAATAATCGAGAGAAAAGAACAAGAAGAAGAAGAAGAGAAAAAAAAAAGGAAACCGTACATTCCAACTCAAACAAGCCGGATATGTCTGTTTGACTAAACATATATGTATATAAGAAAGAGAGAAAAAAAAAATGTATACAAGGTCTATGTTAAAAGGTGCAAAATATCAAATTACTCGATAGATGAATTTACTGTTATATTTTATTAAAAAAGTATTTCGATAAATTTTAAGAATTATTTATTCAATAAAAAAGAGAGAAATTCGAACTACAATTTGTTCTTACAGATGAATGAATGAATGTAAAACAAAAGAAGAAACTATAGTCTTTTTGCTTGAATAGTTTTCTATGATGATAAGATGAAAATAGAATTATTATCTAATTAATAATATATAAAAGAAAAATCAATAGATTTTATTCAATGTTTGAGATTAATATTAAGATAGAAAATAAATTTTTTATCTCAGAGATTTTCGAATAAGTTTATTTATGTGTTAAAACGTAATATACTGTTATAATTTGATATTTTTTTAGAAAAGAAAAGATTCGAACTATCCTAAGGATATTGACTTGATTTTTTCACTTACATATTTAGCTGAGATGAACTAGATATTCTAATAAGGATAAAAAATATAATATAATTCATTGTATACTTTGTATTATATTTATTACTGTGATTTACATTAGTATTAAGAAATAAATGATAAGGAAACTGAAATTTCATCTTCTATAGTTTCAGTGAATAAAAAACTATTGATATAGATGTTGAATGTATTCTACAAACGATTGTAGAACATAATAGAAATTAATTATTAGGAAAGAAATCTTTGAATATAAATGTTATTATATATCGAGATTATTGATTATTTTGTTCTAATTGAATAGTATTGTATATATTTTTTATGCATTTATTTCGACAACTTTGGTTATATATAATTTGATTTATTCTTATATTTTGACTTTTCATATGAATAGATTATTTAAAACTTTCGAAAGAAATTTTATATGTTAGATTTATATAAAGATTAAGAAAGAAAACAAAATTTCTTGTTTTTGTTTTTTTATATTAATCATTTTGATTATATATATACACATATGATGATATTAGACGAAAAAAATCATAATCGGCGTAAAAGTGAAATAATAAAAAACAAAATAAAATTCAATTAATTGATTTTTGTTATTCAGAAAAAAAATAATAAAGAAAACGAAACAAAACGTTCTCTTTTTTTTTTCCTTCGTCCATATTTTAACTAATGTCACATTATATCAACCATATCCAATGATGACTGAACTCTATATATCGATATGATAGATGGTGCTTGAATAATAAAAAATAATGAAAAAAATCTATTTTTATTAAAACATCAATCATCGAAAAATTAAAAAAACATTTTTTCTTAACTTTTTATTTACCTATAATATAAATATGTATATAGGAACTAATGATCAATGGGTAATTTCTTCTTTTTTTTTATTCATAAAGATGAAGGTAAAAGTCGTATCTGATTCATAGTCATATCGTTCTCTTCTTTCCATCGACGATAGACGCGCATCTCTATATCCACGTGAAATTACGGAGGACATTACTTATTACATAGTAAATCTTTTTTGTTTTGTTTTTGTTGCAGATGTTTTTTGTTATTTATCTTTGTTAACAAATATGAAAATTGATCGATCGAAGTTAAAAAAATATCTGCCGGAACCAGTAAGGAAGAAAATTATTTCAATAAAAACTTTTTTTGTTTATTTATTTATTTGTTTGTTTTTTTCCCTATCTTCCATCTAGCCGGCTGATTGTAAATTATTTATTGATAAATTAAAAAGTTGTGATCGAAAAGAACTTCATGACCTATTAAAACCAATAACTATATGGCATATTGGAAAAGTATGTTTTCATTTATATAAACTAAAAAAGAATTTTTTTCTATACTCTCGATTTAATAGTTAATTAAAGTTAGTTCATTGATATCTTGTGCTTATGCATTTATTTTGTTTTTATTTTATTCGTTTAAATTCTTTAAGAAATTCTATTTTTTATTGTTTTATTCTAGTGTGAACTATACCATTGGATTGATGCATTGGATTTATTCGATGCAATTCTAGAAGAAGCTTGTATAAAATCTGGGACATGGATGCTCAATTGTGACAAACCAGAAAATGCAGAGGTTTGTTAAACTAGAAAGAAAGAAGCCACATTTGTTAATATAATTAAAAATTCTAATATGTAGTATTTGTCGCCTTTGGCATTAATTTATATTTTCATTTTTTTTAGTTAAAAATCTTAGTACTTGATATTCTTCATTTTACTGCATTATTAATTGAACATTCATATTCTCGTCATTTATATAATTCCATTGAATATCTAATTATGTTATTACAATCATCTGATGTACATATTGTACTTGGTGTTCTTTCACTTCTATATGTATTCAGTAAACGTTCAAACTTTATCACAAGACTTCAACTTGATAAAAAACAAGCATTAATTGGTCGACTTATATTCTTAGCAGAAGTAAAATTATTATTATTTTTTATGCTTATTAAGAAAATTTTATTTTTTAGACTTGGGGTGGACGTGAGAATGGTTTCGATTTAGCTCGTTGTTGTAGTGTTCGAAATCCTGCAGTAAAAAAAAGATTTATTTCATTGATTATTTTTTCATTGATTCATTTCATAGGATTTTCCTGAACACGCAACAAATCTACATTTTGCATATACAGTTCCTTCTGAATCATCAACAATAAATGGTCCAACAATGGTAAAAAATAAATATTCTTTTGATTAGAAAACAAAATGATTTTTATTTATTTTAAGCAAACTCCTAAACAAATAGAAATTCCAAATGTTCATTTAGCTGGACCAAATGCTGCTGCCGTTATGGAAATAGTTCTTGCTCAACATACATTACCTGAAGATAAACAAATCAAATTATTCACTCATCTTCGTTTAGCTTACGCATTTCCATCATTTGATCAACGTTTACTATGTATACAAGCACGTTTACAAGCATTATCTATACTTGGTAAGATTTTCTATATATATATTCATTAATTTGTTTTGTTTTCCAGTTTATTCTGCTGCAATACAAGAAGCAAATAATGTTCTCTATGATGGATTAATTGAGGAACTTGTTGAAGTCTTAAATGTTCGAGATTCAACATTAACAGTAAGTTTAGAAAATTTATCTTGAAGAGTTTTATTAGTTTTGAATAATTTATTTTCATTTATGATAATCTTAAAAAGATTAGTAAAATCCTATGAAATGAACTATACTGTCTTAGACTTTAATATGCCTAATGATGAAATTACATATGATATTTCATAGAAAAATGATACATTACTTTTTTGTTTTAGGATATAAAAGCATCCGCTTTAAAAACTTTAACATCAATAATTCATCTTGAACGAACAACCAAGTATATGAGTTTATAATAAAAAAAATTAATTAAAATTTTTATTTTGTTGTAGACATCCACCACGTTTACAAGAGATAATTGAAGCAACACAAGCAAATTCCTATCATGGATTTTTACCAGCACTTGTACGACAATGTATTGATAAATTAACTGGTAAATAAATATAAGAAATAAGAATGAAATTTTCCTATTTTATTTTTTGTTTTAGATGATAGTAATGAAAGGTTTCCTCAATCATTATCAACCGCATTATTTTCATTTCTTTATCATTTGGCATCCTATGAAACAGGTGGTGATGCATTGGTTAATTGCGGTATAATGCAATCATTAATTAAAGTAGTTAATTATTATGATGAATCTCAAGATTTTATCATGGTAAAATTTTTTATTGAATTGATCTTTTTGTAAATAATATAATTTTTTTCGAAATTTTCAAGTTTGTTACAAGAGCTGTACGTGTTATTGATTTAATAACAACATTAGATATGACATCGTTTCAAACAAATAATGGTTTACAAGCCTTTATTAATCGTTTAGAGGTATGTTTATTTTATTTGAATTGTTCTAGTCATCGAAAAATGTCAGGTCACATGTACAAGCTCCTATCGAAGCATTTCTATGATAATATAGTGATTAGAAGTGTCAATGTGTGAGCAATAATATTCACTTGAAAAG